TTCTTTGATAGTTTCCTTTTCAAAGGCACAGGCTATTATACTATTACTGATGCAGGAAGTATGCTAGCTTCAGACACACTCCATAAATATTGCTTCAAATTGACAGAGTAGTGGGGATAGGGTTACACTATGCTAAAGAAATCCATGTCATGTACCCCAGCCGTGAATGGCCAATGACAGGTTTAATTATATTGTGGCTAGATATATGTTTGAGTGAGGGAAAGCTAATTTAAGATATGATAAAGAAGGTAATTGTTAGCAATTTCCTTTCTTTCTTAAGTGGGCAGTTGCTGTCAGATCAGAAGTAGACAGGTTACACTTTACAGGGTAAAATACTTAGCTGACTGGAGGGTAGTTGTGAATGATAATGGCCACTGACCCAGAGCAGGTGCCAATTGACAAGCAAAGGAATAAAAAAGATAATGGATATGGATATAATATAGATAAATATCAATGTAAACCCATAGCTACAAACAAGTGATCTTATTGATCCTTTAAAAAAATTTTGCTATTCAAAAATTGCATGACCATGGAGGCAAAGAAAACATAAGATTATGTTTTATCAAAGTTGTGCCTTTTAGCCACTGCTTTCTGTTATTTTTTCACTCTCTTTTATTTTACTGAAAAGGGAAGGAGAGTAAGCAAAAAATAAATCATTTTGCAGGACATGAGCATGAAGTTCACCTTCATTTTGGTGTCTTCTATCCCTTTTTTCTCACAATTGGGGGTGTGATTGGATTAGAAAATTGAAAAATAGTTTTGAAACTTGAAATGTGAAGTATTATGAGAAAAGGATTTGGATTGAATTGGATTGACACAGTTCATTATGACAATTGTTGAGAAAGGTTAAAATGAGAATGATTAATTTCTGATGGAAATATTTATTCTCATTTTGTACACCATCTCTTGTACTTTTCTGAGCCATTCAACTTTGGGTTGAGGAAGTATGAGAGGTTGTGAACTATTATTGTGTCTCTAGCTAAATGCATGTCTAGATATGCTCTTGTATCATTTTCTTTGAGCCAATTGTGCAAGGCATTTCAGTGGGAACAAATATGAATATAGGGTTTATGAAAAAAAAACTTTGAGATTCTGATAGAGTAACAAATATATAATTAGAATGTTCATTTTAGTGAATGTATAATGGGTAAATTATGTATATTTTATTGATGATACTGACTTTTTTCCCTTTTAATAGTGGTCTCATTTGTAATGATGATTCTGTGTATGTGTATGGACAATAACTTGCAAATGCTTCTTAAGGTAATTGACCTTTTTTACAAGATGTTCCCAAAAAAAGGACAGTAGGGTTTGTAAAAAATCCAGTGGGTGTTGGTAGCCCAGTATCCCCAGAGAGGGAGACACAATTTGTAAAGATAAAAAGAATCTCCTTGAACCTATCAGCTTTCTAAGCTAAGTCACCAAGACACCTAGGATCAGTCCAGCATCTACCTGACATAATGAGAAAACAGGACACTCCAGTTTGCTCTAATGATGCACAAATGGGTGTCATCAAGTGGTTAATAGGTGTTTCATTATCTCTATTTTAATATAAGAGAAAATTATCTTTTTGATGTCTTTGCTCTTAAATTTCAAATACAATATATTTTCCCTGTTGAAAAATGGTTAAAGCCTATTGAATTTTATGTTTGTCTATCAGATACAGGGCATTAAATGATTAGGAGTGATATTCAGTATATTTATACTGTCTTTGATGATGACCTATTTGGAGAGATTAAGTTTAACAGTTAGCTAGATGGCTGGTTCTATTTACATGCCATTCTTTTGACCCCACTGAGTGCCCCCCCACGGACCTGGCCATACTGCCAGAGGTAGGTCACATCCCAGCTTCATAGCTAGAAGCTTCCTTACTCAATTGGAGTCAGTCAATAAAGCTTCTTGACTGATACTAACCAAATGGAGAAAAATACGTCGCTGGTGAAATACACAATTTTAGCAAAAACCACCTTCATGGTTATTATCTAAGAAGAATGCCTCTGGTGCTATTTATTAATTCGCATACAAAGAAGTATGTGAAAAGAAATATAAGTCTTCAGTTAATGTGGCTTATCCGACTTGTGTAAAGAAGCTCAGCATAGCAGTATGAAATGATTGGTTTTCCTCTTGATTGGCATTATATGATATCTGTTAAAAAAGTCAAAGAAATGCTTTAAAAAATGCTAAAATGTATATGTAGATCTGCTCATGCTGTGTTGTTAGTTAGTGTTTGCTGTCTTTTATGGCTTTATTTTGATCCCATGGCCACCTTTCCTGAGGATCTGTTACGCAGAAGAGCTTATTGTGGCATGCTTCGACAACTGGAAACATCGCATGTTCTGGACATTTTCTTTTGCACTTCATATTTATTAATTGATAGTTTTATTTCAGAAATATTTTTGCTCATTGGTGCTTTATGAAAGATTCCTTTATGAAAAATGATGAAGATTCCTGATACCAGAAGCATGTAAAGTTTTAGAAATTTATAATGTATCATGTATAATGCCCATGAATTACAAGGCTTTTAATATTTTGTTCTTTTTTGGTTTCATAAATGAGTGATACTTTGTATACCTTTTTGTAATGGATTGATTAACGTATTTCTAATTGTCTGAAGATATATGAAGGTGGTAAGCCAGTTTTGTAGATACTTGGTAGACTTTAGTTTCTCTTTACAATCTTTTTCAATAAAAAAACTTTTGGTTGATAGCAATAAAAAACAGAAGGAAAGTCTATGCATATAGAATCCTTAATAAGGAGAGAGTAGAACTTGTATGAATTATAACTATTCTGCATTTATGTAGTGTCCATTTTAAGAGAACAGTTATGTATTTAACAATTGTTTCTTGGTACATTTTATGATACAAAGTACTCAGCAATGTTATATTGTATTTATGTATGTTATACGTCCTTCATGATTCCTGGGTTTTCCAGGATCAGCGCACTTCCCGGCATAGTCAAGATGATTCTAGTCAGGACTACACCTTCCCCATTAACTCTGCCAACACCAGTAAGTTATATGTTTAGTTTTTATTGCTTTTCTTCCTAGCTTGTGAGTTTTAGTGTATATTTGTAAATTTAATGTGTAGGTGTACAGCACCTTCAGTAGTAATTCACATTATAGTTTGAGTTTATATTTTGGTATTAATTCTGAAAAGTACTTCTTTCTTCTTTATACAACTTTATACAACTAATTCCCCCCCAAAAAAAAAGAAAAGAAAAGAAAAAAAAGTGCATACTAGGGATATAACTTGATTTTGACTCATGCATTTCCTTGTTTTTGTAGCTAAAGATCAGGAGACCAACAACAAGGAGAGGATTGAAGAAGAGAAACCTCCTAGCCCACGGAAGGAGGAAAAGGAGGTGAGGATTTATTTTTTGGCATATTGATTTAAAAAAATGCACACGTGCACATTCACATAAACTAGCCCCCTCTAAATGCAACATGCACTTGAATTTGCAACATGCACATGCAACATTCACATTGTAACATGCACATGCAACATGCATATGCAACATGCATATGCACAAAAATACACATACTAAAACACTCACAAAATTTCACACACAAAAAAACACACACACTAAAACACACATACAAAAACACACATACAAAAACACACATACAAAAACACATGCACACACAAACACACACACATATACACTCACTCACACATAAACATAGTCACACATAAACGCACTCTCACATATAAACACACAAACAAAAATAACACATACACACACAGAAACACACACACACACAGAAACACACACACACAGAAACACACACACACAGAAACACACACACACAGAAACACACACACACACACAGAAACACACACACACACACAGAAACACACACACACACACAGAAACACACACACACACACACAGAAACACACACACACACAGAAAGACACATACACACAGAAAGACACACACACACAGAAAGACACACACACACACAGAAAGACACGCACACACAGAAAGACACGCACACACAGAAAGACACGCACACACAGAAAGACGCACACACACACACACACACACACACACACACACACACACACACACACACACACACACACACACACACACACACACACACACACACACATACACACACACATACACACACACAGAAAGACACACATACTTAGAAAGACACGCAGAAACACACACACACGCAGAAACACACACACACGCAGAAACACACACACACGCAGAAACACACACACACGCAGAAATACACACACACGCAGAAACACACACACTCGCAGAAACACACATATGCAGAAACACACACACACACACACGCAGAAACACACACACGCAGAAACACACACACACACACACGCAGAAACACACACACACACACACGCACAGAAACACACACGCACACACAGAAACACATACACACACACACACACGCACACGCACATGCACACGCACACGCACACGCACACGCACACGCACACGCACACACACACAGAGTACTATATGTATGTTTATTTCACATAAACTTCATACCGTTGCAGGTGGTGCCACCAGTCCCAGGTGAGCGGCGGCTTTCTAAGGGGCCAGCTCCCTCTCCACCAGTTACCGGCAGTCCAGCCAGCACACCCACTTCTAGTGCTTCCTCTACACCCTCTAAGAAAGGCCCTGCACCAGCTGTCCCGGCTAGCACCATCTCCTCTAAACCTAGAGCTCCATCACCAGTGGATGCGCCTTCAGATGGCCTTGTAGCAGACCCTGTAGTTAGCACTCCCATCAACACCAGTAAACAGGTGACGAGCACACCCTCAGGGAAGGGCCCAGCACCCAAACCTGCGCCTATCTGTGAGAGTCCCGTTCCGAAGGAGAAACCTCCACCGACAGTGTCCATGGCAGACATTCCAGATCAGAAATACGTAAGCGAGAAAGCTGAAAGTCAGCCTATTGCATCTCCTGTTGTTGAAGAGAAGAAAACAGTGGAGGAAGAAAAAATGGAAGTAGATGAGAAGGTCCCTGTAGAACCACATACTCAAAAGCCAAAGAAAGGATCTGAGTTAGATGTTGTTGATAATTTATCACAGAAGAGTAGTGTATCATTAATCAAGGAGGAACAGACTGTTAGTGAGGTAGTAACCACAGTCCCAAAAGCAGCTTCCACAGTAACACCTGAGCCGGATAAAGTTAAAGTAAATGATGAAAAACTTAGCGATACCCAACAGAAAGCTAACTCAGCACCGTTAGTTCATAGCACAGAAATCGAAGCATTCCCCGTATCACCTGTTATGTACTCTCCAATAGTTCCTTCAGTAGAATCACAAGGCAATAGACAAGATACCGAGAAGAAAGACAGCTCCATAAGTGATTCCCAAGTTCCACAAGTAGCGTCAGTGCCAGCTCCTGTGTCATTGTCCCCAGAGCCAGCTGAAACTATCATTGCCTCTATAGGCAGTGAAGGTACAGTAATTGTCCGCACCCCAACCCCAACCCCACCAGAACCAACACAGAGCCAGCCAGTAAAGAAAGAAAGCATTGTTACGTACTCTGGTAAGCTGCGCATAAATTTTGTTTAGAATTAGCTGGTGAATGAATACTTGCCCATTGAAATATTCATCAGTTTACCTGTTCATTGACCTATAGAAATACTTGCTTGTTGAATTTTGAATTTGATTTAACAATTAATGAGTTCTTGTAGTCTAAGTACTGCACTGATGATGATGATGATGATGATGATGATGATGATGATGATGATGATGATGATGATGATGATGATGATGATGATGATGATGATGATGATGATGATGATGATGATGATGATGATGATGATGATAATAATAATCATGATCATCATCATGATCATCATCATGATCACCATCATCATGATCATCATCAGCATGATCATCATGATCATGATCATCATCATGATCATGATCATGATCATTATCATGATCATCATCATCATGATCATGATCATCATGATCATGATCATGATCATCATCATGATCATCATCCTCATGATCATCATCCTCATGATCATCCTCATGATCATCATCATGATCATCATCATCATGATCATCATCATCATGATCATCATCATCATGATCATCATCATCATGATCATCATCATGATCATCATCATGATCATCCTCATGATCCTCCTCCTCATGATCCTCCTCCTCATGATCATCATCATGATCATGATCATGATCATGATCATGATCATCCTCATGATCATCATCATGATCATCATCCTCATGATCATCATCATGATCATGATCATTATCATGATCATCATCATCATGATCATGATCATTATCATGATCATCATGATCATTATCATGATCATCATGATCATGATCATGATCATCATGATCATCATCATGATCATCATCATGATCATCATCCTCATGATCATCATCCTCATGATTATCATCCTCATGATGATCATCCTCATGATCATCATGATCATGATCGTCATCGTCATCGTCATCGTCATCGTCATCGTCATCGTCATCGTCATTGTCATCATCATCATCATCATCATCATCATCATCATCATCATCATCATCATCAATTCATGATGATTGTTATTTGATATATATTACATACAAAATATTTGATAAATTGTATTACATATAATAAATACACTTAATTTTGCCATCTAGGTCCTGCCATTGTCGATGAGGGTTTACAGGAGGGAGGAGAACAACAGCCATCTGTGGATGTGATAGAAACAATTTCCCACACGCCGCCTCCTTTGTCTCCTTCTCTGTCAGAGGCAGAGGAACAAGCAGTTCGCATCCTTGAGTCTGCAATTGAGAGCGCCGTAGAAACTGCATCAAACAGGAGTTCACAGGATGAAGGGGAGGAAGCCAACGTGACCCTTGCAGGTACCTCAGTGATACTTACTCCAGACCATGTGGAGGAGGAGGAGAGCACTGTTTTGGTGTCAGCTGTCCAAGGTTAGTGGGTTGTTTATTGAAAAACAGGACGTTCTTTAGAGTATTGATGCTTGCACTAGTAATTAACTGGACCACTAACCTTGTAAACATGTGACTACTGCTAAATGTGACAGTAGGGTAATGGATTTTGGGATGTTTTAATTGAAAGCTAAAATTAAGACATAACTGATGGTAAACTTCATAATACATTTGATGTAAATGCAATGTTTTTTCATTTTATAGTTTTAAGCTCAAAATACATAATGCTAGGGCATAATAATGAGATGAAGATATATATTGAAAATATTTAGTACACTTCATGTATAGGATGACACCTATATGGCATCATTACAGTAAACTGGTGTTTCCCCTTTTCTGGTTGTCAGTATGGCAGATGCTGGATTGATCCTGGATGTTCTGGGTGACCTCCTACCTTAAGCTGGAGTGCTGGCTTGGTGGGGTTGTTGTTCCAGGAAGACTTCCATTTATATTTATAAAATGTGTCTCCTTTGGTTTCATTATGAACATATATGTCCCCCTTTTGGGTATTCATAATCAGAATGTCTAGAAGCAATTCAATGCAATGGGTCTTGTCTTCTTTTCAAAGAACTCTTATATTTATGTAGGGATAAATGGCTGTGTTATTTAAAATTTTAAGGCTGAAATTTAGGAATCAGACAAAATATATATAAATAGCAGGGAATATACTGATCTTGGATTTGGTATATGCAGGGCCGGATTATGATCTTTTGGGGCCCCTAGGCTAATGAAACTAAGGGTCCCCCTCAGAATATTTTTTACTCGTGATATATTTTAGTGACATTTACATAGCTTGAAGTAAACTTATTGCAAATTCTTTAAATAAACTAGCATAGCTATCTTTTGTTTGTCAATAAAAATATTCTTTAAATACCACTATTTTACTATATTTCAACACAAACATAGTGAAAAAAAAAAAACAGATTTTTTATAACTAAGCCCCTCAAGCTTGGGGGGCGTCCTAGGCTGCAGCCTATACTAGCCTCTAGGATAATCCGGCCCTGGGTATATGTTTTGTAGAACTAACCTAAACTGAGTTATTGTTTTACCCATGAAAGCATGCTTTAAAGTCATTTTGGAACTAGGTGTTTTAATAATAGTAAATCCATATCTCGCATATAATTGCATATTGGGTTTGTACATTTATTTTTCTTAGCGGAATATAATGATGTGACAAATCTGAGATGATTTTTAAAGTTATATTCATGGATGATCAAATATAAGTGCAAAGTTATACATATTATAAAGGCTGCAGTATATGTATTGTAATGCATAAGTATGATATCATTTAACCCATTGGATCTGGTTGCTTCATGGCAATCACATGAACCAAAATACAGGCATCAGGCTTATGTGGCTGCTCTGATGAGTGCTGAGTATGGAAATGGCTTCCTCACTGGAACCTCTGCTCTTCAAGTCATGGCTTACAAACACTATATTCTACAATTGTTTATTGAGGGAAATAATGCAAAAGCCCCTTTCAAAATGCCAAATGAGTCTAATGACCCACCAAGAGGTTTGTGCCTTGTGGCAAGTCTCTCATCACTGTCCTTCAGCTAAAGTGCTCATGACAGCAAGTTCCTGTCATCTTGGCCCACAGCCAAATATTCCCATGACAGCATGTTCACGTCACCTGCCCCTCAAGCCAATTTTTTTGTATGGGTTAAATGATAAATTGTTAGTGTAGTGATTGTAAAATATACAATTGTAGTGCTTTTTAATAATTACTGGCTATAAAATATTTATTGTTGACTTAAATATGATTTGTACAATGCCTTGTTTCATTTTGTAGATATGATGTTCATATAGATATATATCATTGTGGTAGGTACAATATAACTCAGTGAGATATTTACTCTTCTCTTCTCCAAACAGATAAAGATGAAGGTGTGGTGGAAGTTCAAGTTATCACCAATGATGGCCATAAGCTTGATGAAAGTGAAGTTGTGATCTCTAATTCTTCCATACTAACAAATGATGCAGACTCCCAGCCAGAAGCTGCCTCAAAGTAAGATATATATACATAGCTATACTTATTATGAATATATGCATGGATTCATCTTTTTGTGCATGTTTTTTACTTCATAAAATTATCTATCTGTGTATACGGAGATTGTATATGCATACATGTTTGCAGTTATGTGGTTTAATACTTTGATTGTTATAATAGTAATATAGAATTGAGTTTAGTTTTTTTAGGAATGTTAGTACTAACATGTTAAAAAAGTGTAGGATTACTTTTTTTTTTCCTGATAACAAAAAAGTGATGATTTTGACTTTGTAGATCACGTTATGAGATCACCCTGGAAGAAGTCGAAGATGTGAGTGTTGCAACACGTGCCAAGAATGTAAATGACACCACACACATCTCTGTAGTAGCTGTAGATGACTTAGCAGAAACACCAGACTTGCCAAAACAGACGCCAACCAGAGCACAGGAGGCACCTACCTGGTCTGTGTCAGAGCAACAGACAAACCCCACCAGCAAGTTGCCAGGTCAGAATGAAAATGACAACCATGGACATCTTGAGACTTCTTCTAATATCTCCAATATGTCCAATCTCAGTGCAGGAACTCCATCAACTGGTCGATCTGTCAGTTCAGCTGAAGAAGAAAACAGACCTACTATGTCACTCCTGATTGAAGGAACCACTGTAGGGGCAACAGATGTGGATGATGATGTGTTTGATCATTCAGAACATAATGAATCAAAAGTAAGTAGCTAGGTTAATTGTATGAATGTCTTTTGGAAAATTTTAGCCAGTGTTTACAACTTTCTTTACAGTGAAGAAATACTTCATATTTCAATATCGTTTTTCTTTATTTCCAGACTCCAAAGGATAACCAAACTAGACCAGTGTTGGTTAGAGAATCAACTGTAGAGAGTGAGGTTTCCATAGAATCAGGCTTCTCCACAGGTTCTACCCTTTCTACTCCCACGCACCAAAACATTCCTACACGTAACAGTACCACAGTAGCAGGATCTCCTGGCTTAAAGATTTTACCCAATGGTATAGGAAAGGACAACCATAAATTACCAGAGAAGTGAGTTGATCTGTTGCTGAATCTATTTCCTTGCAATTGAAAGTGTGCAATGATGTGGTTTATTCTTAGTTCTTATCAGAAACTCATGTATTCATTCTGAGAAATAAACATTCAAAATTACTTTCACAGGTCGGATTGGGATAATGTAAGTACAGCCAGCTCTGAGAAGGAGAACAAACCGCGTGAGAGAGAAGAGGAGCCAGCAGAGGAAGTGGTACTCCGAAGACCACCAGCTGGAGACAAACAGGATGTTGCTCTCAAGCCTGTTGATAAGAATAGGGAAAACAGAGCTGCTCGAACCAAAGAGGAGAATGATTTAGTGGCACTTCGCAAGAAGACAAGGAAACGTACTAGGAAATTTGTGATTGATGGTGTAGTTGTCACAACCACCACCAGCAAGGTAAAATGGTTTTGATATAATTATTTTGTAAGTAAAAGTAGTTATTTTAATTTCAAAATACAGGGATGACAAATTACGTTTCTATGACCATAAAATAAATATTTGGTAACTTATTTGATTTCTTTTGTTGTAGTTTCATTGTATGAATAACATTTCTTCTGTCTTGTTTTGAATATATCATTTACGAGATTAATTTTCAGAAGTCTTGCACAACATATCTTGAACAAAGAATTGCAGTTATCTAATGATTTATTATTATTGTATTTTTATAAAGGTAATATATGGTGATGATGAAGATGGCACACTTTCATCTGGACACTTAGCAAGAAAACAGGAGCTGCGTGAGTTGAAGATTCTGCAAAAGCAGGAGCAAAAACAGTTTCAGGAATTGGCAGTGAAGGCAAACTTCGCAAAGATTGAACAAGAGAAGAAGTTTGAAGCAGAGAAGCAACAGCTGCTTCGGGGATATGACACAGAAGTTGAAGCTTTGAATAGACAGCAAAAACAACAGGTAAGATACTATTTAAAATCCTGAATATTGTAAAAGGTTTTATGGATGCTTTATGTCTTTCTGGTACTTTTTATGGGTTCATAGTCTTTCCATTATTTTATTTATTTTCTCTCCATGTGTGTATTCAGATGTATTTATTTCATATAGGATTTATATATACATATCCACTCAAAACCACAATTATTTAGTTTTGTATCTTTGAATGATGTCTTGACAGAATTGATAAAGGTAACTTTCATTTCTTTAGATTAATATATGTTATATCATATCTTTTCCCCCAACATGGCCTCTTAGATCCTGCATATGTTTTTCTTCAGATGTTCCATGGAAAGCTTAAAGTTTATTTTAGTGAGGAATTGGTGAACCAAATTATGATTCTCAACAAATAGGGCAGGTTATTGTTCTGGATGGGTATGATGTAATACATCTAATTTCAGTATATAAAATTATTCCTATGATTATGCTTGAATATGCATTTTGCCTCTCTTTAGTTGCTTATATAGTACTTTACTTGGGTATGCTATTTCTGTGAAGTTTTATATGTTTAGCTTTATCAGTAATTTTAGAGTTTACTTTCTTTAACATTGCAGACAACATATAGTCTTTGATAAGGTATGACAGGGAACTTGGAGAGGGATGAAAAGAAGCTGCCATATATAAAAGATTGAAATCACTGGTCTTTGGTGGTCTATAGTCCTGACCTACCTAGATAATAATGCTAGAATTAGTAAGTGTGAAATTGCCAGGAGGTAGTATCTTTTGGGTTCTAGCCCCTGTAGAAGGAGCCATGTGGATCATTGATGCTCTCATATCACAGTGTGTGTAGTGGCATGTTAGGTTATGAGCATGTAGGTTTTTTATGCTGATTCAGACCTAAGAGTGAGCTAATTACAGGCCATTAGATAAGAAACTAGTCCATCAGAGTCTGATGCTAATTGTAACTCTAAACTAATTTCCACTTCAATATTTGATGGATTGGGTGCAGAATTCCAAACTGCTTTTAACCCCTTGGATCCTGGTGCTTCACTGCCCACAAGTTGCCCAAAATTGGTACATTAGGCTTACTTGAGCAACCACTATGACAGGTATGTGGCTTGTAGGTCAGGAACACATGAACACTCATGTTAGGTGACAAGACCCCATGCCTCTCCTTTTCAAAATTAGTATATCTTTCTGCATTTTCAAATGTTTATATTTGTCATTTGATATGCTGTATCCAGATGGTAATAACTCAGTATCACCTCTGTAAGTGGTCCATAAGTCAGTGCAACAATAACAACAATAATTGACATTTTTTTTATTTGTTGCATTTTATTTTTTTTCTTAATATTCAATTTTGTGTAAAACAAACTGTTCTGCCTAACATGGTGGGTGGAATTAGGATCTTGATCACAGAAATAGCATCCTCCTTGGAGCTGGTGATCTTCCAGTCATGACTCATGACTGATACATTCCACATTTGTTTATTAATGGAAATATTACTAGAGCCCGTTTCTAATTGCCCACAGAGTCTAATCACCCTCCAAGAGCTTTGTGCACTCGTGGGGAGTCATTTCTGTCACCCCAGCCTTCAGCTGAAATTCTCATGACAACAATTTAACTCAGTGATTTTGCTATTAAATATTGGTTAGTAACTAGCAATATGGGGTAGTTTCCACATTTGTCCCCAGCTCACTTGTCAAGTCAGTCACAACTCTGAGCACTTAATCATTGGTGTTTATAAGCATAAGTTTGAAAACTTGAGGGTTTTCCTTTACTATAGGGTTCTGTATCTAGTAATGACACCAGGCAGGTTACTATTTGAAAAAGATTATCTCCCTCCAAGTCATTGGTGTGGGGTATGTCATTATGCATTGCTATCTATGATTTGTTTCACTCCTGCAATAACGTGATCTTTTACTACTTGCATTAATGATGTTAACTTTCCCTTCTAGATGGTAGTCTTTCTTAGTAATATCAAGTGTTCCTTGGAGAATTGTAACCATTATGATTGACTTTAAGGATGCATTTATTACCATGTTTTTTTTTATTGTATAGAAATATTTAGATTTATTTGTGGATTGTACACTCATTGGCAACTGAGTGAGCTAGAATGTTTTCACAGTGTAGCTGGAGGGTACTTAGGTAAGTGGTTTATCATTATCATCCTGTGGAGGAAGTGCATATTACTCTGTTAATGTGGTGAAAGAGATTTCAATTTTCATGTACATTTAATGGAAATAGGGTTCACAGAATCTAATATTTAGATAAAATTGCACTTTTTGACAAATTAATTTAGGGTGTTTTTATTGGTAACTGTTCTGGGTTAACTTTAGATTGAAGGATAATTGAGTTATCTTTACATATATATATTTAAATTAAATGCAAAGAAAGACTCAGGTTTCAGATGACATGTGAAGTCTGCAGTAATTGCCCTTCCATCTATGTGTGTGTTGCACCTATTATTGGATGGATGATTTATGTACAATTTTTTTTCCAGATAGATTATTCTTTATTTGATTTTATTTTACAGCCTTTACAGTCAGTGAAGATCTATAATGACTTTCTTTGTCAAACATAGGCCAGGGCCAGTATTTATAAAGATTCTCAAAGTTGATAGGACATCCTAATGTCATTTTTATCCTTGTAGGTATTTTCCTAGGAACACTTTATCTTTCCTAGAATTGGTATTGACAGATAAAAAGTTGTGTGCTGTCAAGGTGTCGTAAAGGTAGTTGCTTAGATTGTGAACTATACAAACGTTTTCTTGCTCAAAAGAATGCTATATATCAATATGCTGATGTTAAAACTCTTGATGAAGAATACTTAGTGTGACCAGATTTTTATTTTTTTTTTAGAAAAGTCATAGCATTGAGGAATCACATTATTAGATATTATTGATTGATGGTCTTGATCAGTATTATGTAATAATTCTTTAACCCATTTTGCTGGGATAGCATACATGCCATGTCTACTTGGAGCCACTTGGATGGCTCCAAGGAGTAAATTCCTAGTCCTCACCTGTTTTTTTCCTTGATTTTCAGAAAGATTTATTTATAATTGTTATTAGTAATTTATTGTTATGATAATAATGATAACATCAATGGTGATGATAACAGTAGGGATAATAATAGCATTCGAAAAATAATCAAGATATGAGGATATCAGGTGAGGTCACTTAGAACCTACTAATTGACTCCTTGATAGCTGAGCATGAGAGCTATCTGTGTGCACAAAATTGACAAGTAGACAGTACATATACCCATTGCCAAGGGGTTGATTCAAATTAATGATGAATTAATAGTATTAGTATGTTAATATTGGTAATGGTAATATTGTATCAGCACTATGATATTCCTCTTTTAGTGTAGTGTTTGATATGCCACGTAAAAGATAAAAAGTATAGTAGTACATTAGAAATATAGAAAATAGTATGAACAAAATTTAAGCTGCTGTTAATATCTAATGGAGCAATTCATGACAAAGAATTCAAATGCTAGTGTAGTGAGTCACTAATAGTAGTTTTCTTGGTTTATCCAGTAGTATGCTGTATAAAAAAAGATGGAATATTGATATAGGTATATAATTGGAAAAAGAAGTCATGACTACTTGCATTCATTTTTTTTCAATTTCTTAATGTAAACAGTTACGGATCATTTTGGAATTTCAAACCCATAATTGTTTTACTTTTTATCTACTTTATATATTGTTTCAATTTTTTGAATGATGTTTCCTGAGATTTGTCCAACAATTCAGACTTTACTTGCATTCATTTTTTTTCAATTTCTTAATGTAAACAGTTACGGATCATTTTGGAATTTCTAACTTCATAACTAAATTCTCCTTTAATACATATTTCTTACCATGATACTCCATTTGTTCACCATATGATGGACTCTCATACATGAATCATGATGAAGATAGAGGAAGGAAAGGAAAAACCATACATTTTTACTTAATCTACATTTATTAATCACATAATTGTTTTACTTTTTATCTACTTTATATATTGTTTCAATTTTTTGAATGATGTTTCCTGAGATTTGTCCAACAATTCCTAGGATTTTTTTTTAACAGTCAGGAGAGCCATTAAGAAATTTCTTGAGAATCTTCATAGATACAAAGCCAGATAATAAACAAACAACCAGAATTACTTCATATTATTGTGTTTGCTTGACATGTGAAAGACTGAAAACTAGTATTATAATATGACAAAATACTTGTTGGAAATCAGGCTTACCATCACTAAAAATCACCTTCCTTATTAGAATGGTTGAATGACGTGTCTGCAGTGATTTCAGGATCTCCTAATAGCATTTTACAACTTATATATATTTTTGGTATTACTTGTTGTATATTGAAAAATTATTTAGAATTTTTGTAAGAGAATTAGGGTGGAAATTATAGTGAATGAAATATAGTTCACAGTAAAATTAAGCATGGACCAAGAAAAGGTGGCACTTGCTTTGTGAATATGCATGCCAGTTGATACATGTGCACATTTTATAACTCCCAATATAGGAAGATAATTAACCCCTAAACAATGGGCTACATGTCTGTTTAACCCAAATCTGACGGGTATGGCATGCATACACCTGTCATGCCCACTGTGAGTTTACTTTATTGTTTCTACACATAGATGGCTACACTTTTACTAAGGCGCCAATGAGCCAATTACAACTACTGCCTGTCTCGCTTGTTTACCCTTTTCCTTGATCTTTGATCTTGTTATTTTATATGGCAGTTACTAATGTCTGTAACATTAAAGTAATTATAATGTCTGTAATAAAAATAACACCATTGCTGTTCATAACATTAGTAAAAGTTTTTCCTGACAATTCAAGGAAAGGTGAAATCGGGTAAGGTTACAAGGTCTACTAATTGACTCATTGACTCCTTTGTGGCTAAGCACTAGCAGAGCCTTCTATGTGCAGAGACATTTCACAAAAGAATAAAAAAAGGAGCACAGCATTTTGTTAATATATATGTGGGGCAGGCAAGTCATAATCACTGTCATTGAAATTATCATTATCACTCATCACATCTGCATTATTACAGTCATCATCACATATGATTATCATTATCACTATCTTCATTATCATTATCACATCTTCATTATAACATCATCATTATTACACATCACACCATATCATTTTCACATTGTCACATCATCACCTCATCGTTATCTGGAGCTTTAAGGATGTGAAGGAATGCTGATTATCCAGTAACTGCAAGGCCTATGCACAATGGTACAGCAAATTGCTTCTTTTGGATGTGGGTATAGGAGAGGAATGGACTGTAGCTGTATTACCCGTTTATTTCCTAAAATGAGAATGTCACCTACCGTTTAGGGGTTAAACGAAATAGATGCTAGAGGTTAGTTAAGTGTGTGAAAGAACTATGTTATCCATTTTGTATAGAATATACATTTTATTGATATTAGATATTATTCTTTTAATAGAGGTAAATGGTCAGAATTGCTTGCAACATTTAGACAGTCTGATTGCATGCACAGGGCCATGACAATACCCTGATTCTGAGTTATTAGAAGGGGTAATAGTCATATTCCTCTCACCATTTCAAAACCAGAAGACATTTGTTGCTGATTCCATTCTGACAGAGGGTCATCAGATTGTTTTTATTGTTTATAAAGAGATAAAAATAAAAATCATCCTAAAAATACCTTCTTATCTTGTTAGGTGGAAAAGGCAGAAGCCCAGCAGGAGATCGAGCTAAAGAATGCCAGCAAAAAGATCCGGGCAGAACAAGAGCGAGAGCTTAAGGCTTTCAGGGAATCACTAAAGACCGAGTTGAAGCTCCTAAAGCAAGAAATTGACCTGCTTCCCAAAGTAAGGCATTTAATGTTTTTATTTTTGGACTTGTGAGAAATAATGCATAGATATCCCTGTATTTAAAGGGCTACTACTTTTCTATCTATTATTCCAAGCCATTGTTCAAAATTGCAAGTTATAATTGTCTTATATTATGAGAAGGAAAGGTGTAATTGGAAAGGAAAAAGTTGATATAAAGTAGACTGATCCATTTTCTATTTCCAGGACAAGCGTAAAGAAGCCTTCAAAACTCGTAAAGAACGATTAGATCATGAACAGAGTGAGAGAGAGAAGAGTTTCCTTGAACGGCTTAATGAAGCTCATGAGGTACTTATCTTTGAGTAGTAGTTATAAGTGCTCTACTTTACCAAAATTTTGAGTCATGTATAACTATAACTGTTATTTTTTATTATTATTATTTTTATTATTATATTTTGTTTTACTTTGTATGATTTTGGTTGGTTGGTAAACATTTCTAAACTTACTTGACTGGCAAGAAATGCAATTAGTAGTAGTTTCTTATTGTTACACATCTTGAATGTGAGCTCTGTATTTTGAATGAAGGAACTACTAAGAAAAAGCAAAATAAAGTAAAGTAAAGTAAAGTAAAGTGAAAAAAATTGTCTGTTGTAACCAAATATAGACATACTTTTTCCTACAAATTTCTCATAACTAATCATGTTACCATTGGTTTTAGATGTCACTGAAGAGACTAGGTGATGACCACCGTGAAAGGATTGCTCTCCTTGAGAGACAGTTCCTACAGCAGAAACACCAGTTACTAAGATCCAGAGAGTCTGCACTTTGGGAGATGGAAGAGCGCCATCTCCATGAGAAACACCAACTTGCTAAAAGACAACTCAAGGATATTTTCTTCCTTCAGAGACATCAGGTATGGATGCTTGCTTCTACTTTAAAGCATGGAAATTGAATTACAAAGGCAGAAAGATTGAGAACGTTTGAACATTTGCATTCATGTTTGTTTTTTAATTGGTGTTTATGAATACAGGAAGTGGCAGATATTGCCATGTAAGATAGTATTATGTACCTCTATTTTATTGTGAAATATCTCTTTTATATAATTGTAGATGCTTTTGAGGCATGAAAAGGAATTGGAACAAGTTAAACGAGTCAACCAGCAGAAGGAAGAAGAACTGATTAAGAGGCAGCAGGTAAGTTCTGTTTTGATCTCAGTGCTGTTCAAATTATTAACTTCATAGGGTTTGAATCTGAAATAATTTATTTTATCAAAGTTGACAGGGAATGTACTTTAAAAATTCTTGATTGCAAGCATCATTATCTCAAGAAATTGTAAATATACAAATGTGCCTATATTAATTTGACAGATTTTGATTTTTTTTTATATTCACATATAGTTAATGATTTTTATTTAATTTTAAACCAAGTTGATTTATAGCCTTTCTTGCCCTGGAAAGGCATTTTTGTACAGCATTGCAATTTTCTTCATAGTTCTAAGATGGAATTGTTTTTGTTCCTCCTCTTGGGCACTTGAAAAACTTTGTGTTGGAAAAGGAAATTTTGTTATGATGGGCAAGATATTATTCTTACTTGTAAAATTTACTTTTTTTGGGGTATTACTTTAACAGATTGAAAAGAGGCAGTTACCAAAGCGCATCCGTCAGGAGATGAAAGCTCGTGAGCTGATGTTCCGTGAAAGCATGAGAATAAGCACCACTCATCTTCCAGATTCTCATGATGATGAGAAAGATAAGATCAGGAAGGTATGTAAATTTGTTACTTAAAAAGAAAAAAAAAAAAAGAAAAAGATTGACAAGGTTAGTCAATAATCAAACCCTTTACTCTCAGTGTAGGGGGAACCTGTCTCACTCTGTGAGGTTATTAAAACCAGAAACAATTGAGTTAACAAAAACACACAAGACGAATTTTTTTATTATTCTGTATAGGGGCAAAGAAATGTACACTATTAAGAGAGACAGATCAAAGTCACACACACCTGAAATCACAAATTATAAGTATGATCCAAGTCACAAAGTTGACACTGGCATCCTAAACATAAGACACTGTGCATTCTCTTGGAAACTAACCACAGCTTAAAGGCCTAGTCATATGACTAAGGAAATATTGTGGGTTGTGTTATGGACTGGTCAGGATTGCTGAGTCAGTTAATATTGCTGTGGTGGAACCAAGGTATTTTTAAACAGGGAAAACCACTCCATCTTGATGAAATTGTTTTTAATTGGTGTTTATGAATACAGGAAGTGGCAGATATTGCCATGTAAGCTAGTATTATGTACCTTTATTTTATTGTGAAATATCTCTTTCTATATAATTGTAGATGCTTTTGAGGCATGAAAAGGAATTGGAACAAGTTAAACGAGTCAACCAGCAGAAGGAAGAAGAACTGATTAAGAGGCAGCAGGTAAGTTCTGTTTTGATCTCAGTGCTGTTCAAATTATTAACTTCATAGGGTTTGAATCTGAAATAATTTATTTTATCAAAGTTGACAGGGAATGTACTTTAAAAATTCTTGATTGCAAGCATCATTATCTCAAGAAATTGTAAATATACAAATGTGCCTATATTAATTTGACAGATTTTGATTTTTTTTTATATTCACATGCAGTTAATGTTTTTTATTTAATTTTAAACCAAGTTGATTTATAGCCTTTCTTGCCCTGGAAAGGCATTTTTGTACAGCATTGCAATTTTCTTCATAGTTCTAAGATGGAATTGTTTTTGTTCCTCCTCTTGGGCACTTGAAAAACTTTGTGTTGGAAAAGGAAATTTTGTTATGATGGGCAAGATATTGTTCTTACTTGTAAAATTTACTTTTTTTTGGGTATTACTTTAACAGATTGAAAAGAGGCAGTTACCAAAGCGCATCCGTCAGGAGATGAAAGCTCGTGAGCTGATGTTCCGTGAAAGCATGAGAATAAGCACCACTCATCTTCCAGATTCTCATGATGATGAGAAAGATAAGATCAGGAAGGTATGTAAATTTGTTAATTAAAAAGAAAAAAAAGAAAAGAAAAAGATTGACAAGGTTAGTCAGTAATCAAACCCTTTACTCTCAGTGTAGGGGGAACCTGTCTCACTCTGTGAGTTTATTAAAACCAGAAACAAATGAGTTAACAAAAACACACCAGACAAGAAATTTTTGATTATTCTGTATAGGGGCAAAGAATTGTACGCTATTAAGAGAGACAGATCAAGGTCACACACACCTGAAATCACTATTTATAAGTATAATCCAAGTCACAAAGTTGACACTGGCATCCGAAACATAAGACACAATGTGCATTCTCTTGGAAACTAACCACAGCTTAAAGGCCTAGTCATATGACTAAGGAAACGTTGTGGGTTGTGTTATGGACTGGTCAGGATTGCTGAGTCAGTTAATATTGCTGTGGAGGAACCAAGGTATTTTTAAACAGGGAAAACCACTCCATCTTGATGAAAATCCTAGTTGGGAACTTCTAACCTAAGCCCTGCCTCATCACCTTTATTCATTGCAAATATATATATTTTTTTTTCTTGGTTTTGTTTTTTTAATTTTTAAAAAAGTTATTATTACTGAACTATTTTCAAAGAAAATGCACTGAAATAATATTTACCATAAAGTATCACACAGATTGTTGGGGTAAAAAAAGGGAGGAACTAAGGACATAACCATTTTTGGTAACTAAGAGTTCCTTACCATGAACAGCTATCAGAATACTTTTTTGGGGGTTCAATAGACTAAATGAAAGTGGAGCTACCTGGTTATATATACACACCATGGGTGGAACCAAACCATTGATGCCTCAGCTAGACAAGGATGCATTTACTCAAAATGGATTGCCTGCCTCACTGTACTGATTTCACTCTCTTATAACAAACACATAATTAAACTCCTAACCAAGCTTTCAGCAAAACAATTAGGCTCCTTACAGTCACACCCTATTTATATTGTAGTCACACCATTATCAAGCCCTACAGTTACACCACTTGCTAATGAGAGTTACACTGTTGACTGATCTTACATTTTTTATTAGCTAAACACACTTCCAACAGTATAATCATGCAGTTTTGGAAAGCCTGTACTGTTTCTAAATAGTAGAATGGAAAGAATGAAGGTAAAATGATAAAGATTATTTTGAAAATCAAAGTGGATGAATAAATACAAGGAGTTTAAAAGAAAATAGATTTGCAAATAAGTGTGAAAACAAAGCAGATGTAAAGAGGAAGAAAAGTGAAACACGAAGTTACTACAATCTTGTTTGTTATATATACTTACAAAGGAATCAATTAGTAGACCTTGTGACCTTACCTTGAATTGGTGGGAAAAACAATTAATAAAGTAAACTCACAGTGGGCATGGCATGTACATATATACCATGCATGTTGGATTTGATATCCTTTTTTTAACAGATACATGTTTGTTTTCAAAATAGTTCCAGGAGAACGAGAAACGCAGATATGAAGCAGAGAAGCGCCGTGCAGAACAGAAGCACAAGCATAAGTTGGAAGAGCTTCAGGCAGCCTCAGAATATGCCATCAAAGAATTGGAACAACTACAAAATGAGAAGCGTATGTACCTGCAGTTTCAATAATTGTTTGCAAATTTCCCTCTTCATAAGTTCGAATTTTTGAATACTGTGGAATGATTTTCTAATATGAGAGAAAATGAGAAACAATACTTATTTGTTAAGGAAATCAGAATGATGGAATTTTGTTGTCGTTGAATTATTTATACATGAATGATCATAATGGACTTCCCTTGTATTTCAACAGGCAAAATGCTGATGGAACATGAGACTTACAAGTTGAAATCTCAGGACGAGGAGTATCAGCGAGAAGTCAGAGAGTGGAAAGAGAATCTCAAGCCTCGCAAACAGGTAATCAGTGTTGTAAATTTGGTTCCTTTTCTCTACTTCCTGCTTTTGTCTAGATAGTACTTTGTTATTAATCATATTGTCAGTAACTGTATGTTTTGTACTCGGATATGAATGATGAACTTGGATTTATCTTATGAGTTATATTATGGTCATGTTTTTTTTAGTTGCATACATTTTGCAAGCTTGCTAGGTTGAGATAATAGTGAACCAGTAATTGAGATTAGAAAATGGTTTCTTGGCTATTGTGCAAGTTTTATTTTTATGCTGAATATTTTATTTTGCTGATTTCTTATTTATTTTTTCTTGATTATAGATAGATAGAGTTTTATATGAGTTGTTACAGCATCATTCTTTTCTTATGCCACTAATGCTGTTCAGTCATAAACTGATGCTTTTTAAGAGATAATTTTGATAATTTCTTTGGGTACATATCCTGCCATACTCTGGAGCTGTATTCAAGCCTGTCAGTTTTAATGTCTAATTAAAATAATTTATATTGTTTAAACTTTAAAACTTATTGCTCTTTCTTCTTCATAATAAATCAATAACTGGTGTTGGCCTTGCAAGTAGTACTAACATCATTTTGCTTGCAATTAACCTATGATATTGCACATGTTGAAAAAGTTAGTGACTTGAGTAAGGCTTTAGAATATGGTACTGTGTTGGAAACAAGAGAATGGTGCTGGTTAGAGGGATGTGTCAAGGTTATTTGGGTTATTTTATGGCCCTCCATGGTTGTTGCACAGGGACTGGAGAAGGACTTTCATGCTGATTGGATCTTTGCACAGAGAACACATCTAGACTACCAGGTGGATAATACAGTATTTGAGAAAACGCATGCTAGACATTAAGTGTGTAGGAAAAAAACATCCTCTGATTAAAAACACCAAAGAGGATAGTTGTGCAT